ACTATTATTGTTTTATAAATTCTTCTTTTATTTTCCTTTGTTATTTTTTTATTCCATAATAGTCCGTGTAGCTGTCTGGTGGCTGATCTTGCTTGGCCAATCCTGGAATGTATTTCTTCGCTACTTCCTTCTTTTTATGTTATTTGGACTCCCAAGTATTTAAAATTTTCTGTTGGTTTTATAGTTCCCATTTCGATTTGTATTCTTTCTGGTTTTTCTTCTACAACTAAGTACTCAAATTTTTGTATATTAATTGTGAGGCCCTATTTGATGTAGTCATCTTCCAGTTTTTTAAGCATGTAGCCTACATCACTTTCGTCGTCAGCTAGAATGTCTTGGTCGTCAGCGAAGTGTATTGTATACAATCTATCATCTCCAATTGGGATATCCATATTGCAGTACTTTCTTCTCCACAGTGAGAGTGCCTCATTTAGATATATTTTGAAGAGCGTAGGTGCTATGCAGCAGCCTTGCTTTAGATCCTTACTAATAGGAATTTCTCTAGTTAATCTATTTCCAGTTTTAATGTTTGCTGTCATATTTTTGTAGAGCTGTTGTACTGCTTGTATATTTTTTTGCTTATTCCATGTTTTTCAATTGCTACCCAAAGCATTAAAAGTGGTACACTATCGTATGCCTTTGTCAGATCTATAAAGACTATATGAGTTAAAAGGTTGTGGGCTAATCTTTCCTCGATAACTTGTTTTAGAGAGAATATACTGTCCACACAGGATCTGCTTGCACGAAAGCCATTTTGTTCTTTTACATGTGTCATCTCTTTTTCAATTTTTTTTTTATTATTTTTCCATACAGTCTTGAGAGTAAATTTATGACACTTAGCCCCCTATAGTTTGAACAATTCTTTTTATCTCCTTTTTTGTAGATGTTGTTAATATGTGCTTCTGTCCACTCCGATGGTAAGTCGTGTCCATTATAGAATAAGGTGGAGACATACGTCAGTAATTCCCGTAATACTTGTGGGCTATATAATTCATTTGGTATACCTTGTGGTCCGCATGACTTCCGATTTTTTAGAGTTCGTATTGCATTCTCGACTTCCTGTACTGGTATTTTATCGTCTTACTGAATTCCAGTTCATGTGTTGTTGTAATAATATGCCTTCTAATATGAAACTCCTATTAAACCTGTGCTGACATACGCATCAGAGACATGAACTATGGTAAAAAGCGACGAAGAACTGTTATGCCGCTTTGAAAGACGAATACTTAGACACATACGAAGGCGTACAAGAAAGCGAAATATGGCGCAGGCGCTACAATTTTGAGTTGTATCAATGCTATAAAAAATACAACATCGTCCGGTCTGATAAAATTAACAGACTAAGGTAGCTGGGACCTTGAAAGAATGGACACTGGAGACCCCCAAAGACAGATATTATATCAAGAGCCAGTAGGAACCAGGAAGAGAGGCAGACCAAGATCTAGATTCAAAACTTAAGTCGAAGATGACTTGAGGAATCTAGGTGTCAGAAATTGGAAAGCCAGGGCAAAATATAGGGGGGAATGCACACTAATTCTTGAACAGGTCAAGACCCACCCAAGGTTGTAGAGCCAAAGATGATGATGAATTAAGGTATATAGATCTCTAATTCGCTTTTTCGACTGGATTATAGATGTTTTGTATACATGTCAGCATCAAAGACTTATTTAAGAACTCTTGACATTATTCGGAATACCGCATTAGAAATATGTACCTAAGCTTTTAGATCCAGTTCCGCCGAATATCTTCGCTGTGAAACAGGTGAACTTCGCTTTTCGCTACGCAGGCGACAAGTTCTCCTGACATACTTTGCTAGATTGGGTTCGAAACAAAACAACTTAATATATAAGCTACTTTACAAACCCTATAATTGTGAGCCTAACAATAAATAACAGACTACCTCAAATTTTACTTTCTCTTTTACGACATGTTGATTTTTTAATAACAAATAGTCATATACATCAAAACAATAAAATTTTGAGGCAATCTTTCCTAAAGCTGGTCAACACAAACTCATATAACGAGATTATTTTCACAGATGCACCTAGAACTGAGATAGGAGTAGGATATTTTGTAACAACTGCAAATAGTATCATTCAAAAGTTCTGCCTTCCACCATTCACCTTCATTGATACAGGAGAGCTATATGTTATTCTTTAAGCATTAAAATGCTTATGTAACCAAACTAAAACCAAAAACAATGTACCTAATATTTACAGATTCGACATCCTCCATCGACTCGATTAAAAATATATACTCCGAACATCCAAATCAGACATCAAATCCGTTCAACTAGCATCAGATCCAAAACCAGTTTTCAGATCCGAAAGTAAAAAAAAGTCCTGGAAAAACTAATAGAACAATTCAACCTTAAAACTACACAAAACACAACCTACCATCAAAACCTTTTAGCTACCCAACAATGGTAAAAGAGACAAATCAATCATTCGCAGGTGGAGAATTTGTCACATACGGCTGACATATAGACACCTCATGGCTTCGGAGAAATCACCTGTTTGTGAAAAGTGTAGTGAATCATTAACCGTTTGACATATTCTTACAGAGTGTTTCAAGTACGAGCAAGAGCAAACAAAATAATCATACAAGGTCTTACAAATGTGATTCTCTGCCAATAAGAATTTGTTGAGAATGTAGTAGATTTTCTTTAAGAACCGAATTTATGTTACAAAATGAAATGTTTCCTCTCGTCCATTTTTGGACATAGGCCTCTCCCAACTCCTTTCATCAATCTTTATGCTAAGTAACATACTTCATACATATTTCCAATTTATTCCAGCTATTCTTTTAATGTCGTCCTCATCTCATCTGTGGTTTCCCTTTTATTCGTCTACCGTTGTAAGGTCTCCAACGTTGTATTGTGGTGTTCCAAGGTTGTTCTTTTTGTCTAGCAATGCAACCTGCGAAGCTCCATTTGAGTTTGGCAATTTTTGTTGTGATACCCTCATCAAGCGGATTAAAGATGGGAAATCGCCAGGACCTAATGAGGTGCATGGTAAAATTTTAAAGCTAATAGAGTCACACCAAATCACAGCTCTTACGAAGCTCAACAACAACTACGAGACTGGTTACTTACCAAAAGACTGGCTACTATCAATATTCATTACACTTCCTAAAAAACCCAACGCTAGAAAATGTGAAGAACATAAATTAATTAGTTTGATGAGCTATGTACTTAAAGTACTCCTTACTATCATTCATTTGTGCATATACACCGAATTAAAAGAACAACTGAGTGAAGTTCAATTTGGATTCAGAGCAGGACTCGGAACGAGAGAAGCACTTTTTAGTTAGATAGCTCTAATACAGAGAGCCAGGATGTCAACTGCGATGTGTATGCATGTTTCATTGATTTCGAGAATGCATTTGATAAAGTTCCACATGGAAAACTAATCTATATCCTAAAAACATCAGGACTCGATGGTAAGGATATAAGACTGATCTCAAACTTATATTTCCATCAAAAAGCAATAGTACGATTAGAAAATGAACTGTCCGAGATCTTCACAGTCGAAAAAAGAGTTAGACAGGGTTGCATATTGTCACCGGCATTATTTACCATATACTCTGAAAACATCTTTAGAGAGGCCTTGTATGAACCAGAAGATGGGATTGCTGTAAATGGCCAACTTATAAACAACATTAGATATGCAGACGATACAGTGCTGCTGACAGATAGTGCGCAGGGGCTCCAAAGGATGATGGATAACGTTGTAGAAACATGTAACAAATACGGCCTAAAACTAAATTGCAAGAAGACAAAAATAATGATCATTAGTAAGAACACCGGCATTTACGCCCAAATTACAATTAACGATACACTGTTAGAAAGAGTGGAAAAATATCATAGCGGGGATATCACAGGGATCACAGCTACGAAATGAAAATTCGTATTGAAAAAGGCAGAAGCTTTCAACAGCCTTAGGAAGATTATCTGCAACTTATCTTTAAGTGTCAATATACGTTAGATGAGAATTGTTAGATGTTACGTCTTTAGTGTCCTCCTCTATGGAGTAGAAAGCTGGAGCCTTACAGAAGATGCCATAAAACGATTGGAGGCATTTGAAACGTGGTGCTACATACATATGTTGAGGGTCTCATATAGACACCACACAAGTAACATAACTATTCTTCAGAGGTTAAGAAAATACAAAGAAATTATTAACACCATAAAAAACGGAAAATTAAGTTACTTTGACCACATCATGCGTAATGATAAATACCGACTTCTACAATTGATTCTACAGGGCAAGATTGAGGATAAGAGAGGCCCTGGACGTAGACGTATATTCTGGCTGGCCAATCTTAGAAAATGGACTGGTCTAACGTCAATTGATCTATTTCGAGCTGCTGTGAATAGAATAAGATGAGTCAATGTGGTCGCCAATATCTCTAGAAGATAGGCACATTTAGAAGAAGAAGGGTCCATGTTTGGCATCGATATGTCATGATAGGAAGGATGCATTGGTTGAACACTTTGCTCCTTTCATCAAATATTGAGGTATTTTGCGGTTCTTCAATATCTTCGATATGTTTTTTTTAATTATACATTTTGTTTTATTGAAACAAAGACTAAAACCGCTGCTTAGAGGCCAATTTATTAGTTCATTTAAGTGTTCTTATAATGTTGTGATCCCTTTGATTAACATGCTGCATATTTTATTTTGTTGTATCGAAACAGAGCCAGGGTTGATAGCAATTAACAGCTTGCAAAATTTTACAAAAACAGTAAATTTCATCTTTTGTTCATTTCTCCCTTTCACTCATTACTTTTTCTTTAGTTGCATGGTAATAAATAAAATATAAAATTATATTCTTTATTAATTGACAGGGCTATAAATATGTTGGTCTTTTATTTAACCTTCAATATTAATTTCAGTTTCTGTACTAAGGATACCAACAATGTAAAACATAGTAAAGCAGGCCTTTTTGTTTGAGCAAAAAAGTTCTACTTATAATTACTTTAGCGATAGAGCATTCCACAGAAATCGTTCACTTTTAAATCATTCAATGTTTTATTGGATTGTGTTGTGGTTCGTCTTTATTTTAAAAATCTTTTTCCAACCCACATTTATATTCTTACGGATTTGTAGTAAGTTAAAAATTGTTCATCTTTTTTATTATAATATTTTTGTTGAAATTAAAAATTTAACTTTTTTACAGACATTATTTATTGAACATGCATGTATTTATTTTACAAATATTTTTTTAAATTTATTTTTACATTTTTATATAAAACTATTTTCTGGTATTAAAGTATTAAAATTATTCATAATTATAAAAAAACCCCTTTTTATATCTAATTTTTTTTTAAAATGTGTATTATATTATACCTTAATTTTTATTGAAAGGTTTTTATGTCCCTATTTTCCGTCTAATTCGTTATCGCTTACTTTGAACTTAACGGTGAGGAAGAATTTACCGGCAAAGCATGATCCCAATAGTTCCAAAATGAACACGTGGTCAAGATTTGCTAATCTGGATATTTGACTATTCATTAAATTTTTTGTTACAATCAGTTAGATACTAGTTTCTAGTTTTACATATATTTTATATTTATCGCAAATCTAAAATTCTCGAAATTCTCAAGATTTTAATTTTATTTTATTTTTTTTATAATCGTTGAATACACATTTTTGTGACATGTAAAGCAAAGCTAACTTTTAATAGACTATATTGTTCGATAGGAAACACGTGGTCAAGATATACATACTAAGCTGGATACTTGATTATTTATTAAAATTTTGATAATGACGATTATTTAGTACTTTCTAGCTCTCCATATTTTTTATATTTATCACAACTCTATAATTCTGAAAATTCTAAAATTTTAATTTTTTTTTTATTCGTTGAGTCCACTTTCGTGCAATTAGTAAAGTTTATATTAAAAATCGTAATATTTAGCAAATCTCAACATTTTTAAAAGACATGAATCGACAAGGCGAAAAGCTCGAATTTATTCGGAAAAATATTCTCTTGAGATTTTTTGAGTAAGCACTTTCACGTTATACCCCAGAATAAGATTCAATAGGTCGTCCTTGCGAAAAATTAATTCCTTTTTTAAACAAATTGTAAAAATCATTTTTTTGGCATGGTTTTTAAGGTTTTTTTAATCACTTTGAACAAAAAGGTTGTAATTTTTCTCAAAACTTGATCGTTTTCGATTAGCCTTAATTAATCCAACTTTGGACATAGGCCTGCCATAAATCAATCCAGTGTTCTCTATTTTGTGCCACTAGCTTCCAGTTATGTCATCAGCCCATCTCATTTGTGGTTTTCCTCTGCTTCTCTTTCCAAACTACGGTCTCAATTCTATATTTCGTGGTTTAATATTTTATCCCTTAGTAGGGCATTGTGCCCTGCGAAGCTCCATTTTAATTTGGCAGCATGTTCTCCTGCGTCTTTTACTTTGGTTTTGCTTCTAATCTATTTATTTTTTTGTCCTTAGTCTCACCCCGAGCATTGATCTTTCCATCGCTCTTTGTGCTTTTACGATTTTATCCATATTAGACTTGGGTAGTGTCCACGTCTGTGAACCATACGTGAGTATAGGAAGGATACACTATAGAAAATTCTGGTTTTCAAATATTGTTCTATTTTAGTGTTTTTCATGATCCAACTCAGTTTTCCAAATACTGTCCATGGTAATCTTATTCTTTTGGTAATTTTGGCAGTTTGATTTTCTTTGTTAATTTTTATAATCTGTCCCAGGTAGATGTATTCGCTTACTGTTTGTAAATTTATGTCGTTTAACGTTATTTCTGTAATGTTCGGTGTATTTGTCATTATTTTTATTTTTTCCAAGTTTCTGAAGCTTGAAATAGTTGCGTCATCATGGTCTGTAGTTCTTCGAAACTTGTAGCGAATATTACAATGTCACCAGCGTATCTCAAATAACTTAATTTTCTTCCATTAACATTTATTTCTTTATCTACCAAGTTAATGTCTTTAAATACGCCTTTCAGTCCAAGTGAAATAGCTTTAGTGAGATAACATCTCCCTGGCGAACTCCTTTGTTGATTGGTTTAGCTTTGGTTTTCGCATCTATTTGTATTTTCATTGTAGCTTTCTTGTTAATATTGTGTATAAGCATTCTGTATCGGTAGTGTATCCTGCAGTTGATCATAGCTCTCTCTATTGCCCAAAGTTCTATGGAATCAACGACGCCAATGTGTAAGTTTAAGTATTCATTGGGTTTCCCTATTAGCGTTCTAACTGTAAGATGATCCGCTGTACTGTAACCCTTTTGGAATCCTGCCTGCTCTACCGGTTGATAGCTATCGAGCTTCGATGTTAGCCTGTTAGTTATTACTCTCATAAACAGTTTGTACATTTGGGATAGCAGGGACATTGGCCTATAGTTCTTCAGATCTTCCCTGTTTCCCTTTTTGAAGGGAAGTATTGTCAAACTTTTATTCCAATCATCTGGTACTTCTCCCCTGTGGAGACATTCGTTGAAAAAATTTTTAATTCTTCGAGAATAATTTCACTCCCCTCCTTTATTATTTCTTCAAGTATTCCATCTGGGTTCAGAGCCTTATTGTTCTTTAGTTGTGCCAGAGCTTGTTTTATTTCGAATGATTCTATGTTAGGGAGTATTTCTGATTTGACATTCGTTATCTTTCTCTTAAGATCTTCCTTTGCAGTGTTATCTGGGATCGTGTTTGAGGAATATAAATTACGGTAAAATGTTTGAGTAACTTTTACTATTTCGTTCTTTTCTCTTATTTATTTTCCATCTTTATTCTTTAAAGAGATTATTATAGGCTTTCCTAAGTTTGATCTTAAGCATTTCAGGCTTCGGTTATTTTCTATTATTTTTCTACCTTGTTTTCATTATAGATCCTTAAATCTTTCTTTACTCCCTTCTTTATTTCGGAAAAAATTGAAAAATGACGATTTTCAAGAGCAAAAACACAAGTAACAAATATTATTTTTTAATTTACCAAGTGCCTAAATTTAAGATAAAACTTTCGTCTATCAGTTTCCGATAAGTATTTTGAGCTTATTTAATTTTAAAATATTATTTTTTATTTCATAATGAAGCATTTATGACAGGACGGAGGCTCGGGCTGTTATGCTGCGAGTATAAGAGAGAGAAATAAAATTTATATTTATAAGCCACAAATTTTTGTTAGTTTGAACTCTCGTTTTTCATTAACAACTAAAAACAATGATTTAAAATGAAATAAGCCCTTAGAGAACTAACAGAACAAGGTTTGAACGTGAATTTAGGCACTTGGTGAATTCAAAAGTATTTTTTTACTTGGTGTTTTTGGGTGTTCTATAGTGTCATTGTTGCTTTTAATTTGTATACGATTATCTGTTTTCCCACATATTTTGATCTTAGTTTAACTTTAGTTTATCCTCAGGTTACGTTTTTCAAGTTTATCGATTTCAAGAGATCATCTACAAATGCGCATTCCGCTATCTGTATCATTTTTATTTTTGTATATCCATTATAGATTTTCGATGTTTCTTCCCTGGTTTCCTTTATTACATCATCAAGTATAATATGAAACAGGATGAGACTTAGTATACCTCCTTGTCGTTAGCCATCATTGACTATAAACTCGTCGGATTCCGTATGATCTGTTCTTACTGTTTCTTGTGTTTTTGTACAGGCTTCTAATAGGTTTTCGGAGTTTGGTTTCTACTCCCCTATTCATTAGGCTTTTATCGATTTTTATTTACGGGGTGCTGTCAAATGCTTTTCCCAGGTTTACAAAGGCTTGGTATAGTTGCATACCTGTATTTCGTGCATTTTGTATGAGCTACTTAAGTGTGAAAATATGCTCATGGATGTTTCTTCCCTTCCTGAATCCACTCTGTGACTGCTACAGTTTATGATCCTTCTTGTATATCCACTCTTATAGTAGATTTGTCTCCAGTACTCGTTCATATACTTTGGAAGAAATACTCAGGAGGGTTATACCTCTATAGTTGCTGCAATCACGTCTCTCATTTTTTGAATATGGGTAAAATAACCCCACTTCCCAGTCTCTTGGAATATTGCTCTCATTCCATGCTTTGTTGCAAACTTTTCTGAGTATTTTATTTAAATTTTGACTCATATTTTTTGGCATTTCCACGGTTATCTTATCATAGAAAGTTGCCTTTTTTCTTTTAATCCTGCATATTATTTCTCTTATTTCATCTGTTGATATTTCGTTTTGATTTTAATTATCATGTGCATTTTGTTCAGTGTTGTTGATTCAATAGATTTCAAAATATTCTCTATATATGTTCATAATACTTTTGTTATTGCAAAGAATATGGCCATTTTTTTTATGTTGTTTTAGTCTTTGTTATCTCTTTTTTGTTCTTGGACTTCTCAGGGTTTTTTTAAAATAATTTTTGGTTGGTGTGCTAATCTTTCTTCATTTTATTGCCAAAACCCTCCTAGCCTTTCTTTTTCGCTTCCATTACCATGGCTTTTATGTTTGTCCTCTGTTGCTTATATTTTTGATATATTTCTGCATTCTGGTTCCTTGGGTATTTCTGCCACGCTAACTTTTTTAAAATGGCCTCTTTTATTTCATTACTCCAACAATTCGTGCTCTGCTTGTTTTTATTAATCTTATTATTTTTGGTTTAAGTGCTTTTGTAGACTATTGTTTTTGTGTTTTTGCTATTTTCTTATCTGCTAGCGTGTATGATAATAACGGCGTTATTGAGATTTCTTAGGATTTTGTCTCTTTTCCTCGGTTTCTGTTGTATTATTTTTTGCACCATTCCGAAACTAGTTCGGACTACTACGAGGTAATGGTCGCTATATATTTCTGCTTTCTTTCTTAGTCTGACATCTTTAATATATTGGCTTAGGGGTCTTTTCACCAATACATAGTCAATAATGAAGTTTTCTTCTCTAGTTTTAACTTCTCTGGCGTACGTATGCACATCTTTGTGTTACAAAAACGTTCTCTATTATTGTTTATTAGTTTTCCATATTGTCCTCGTACATCCGAGCAATCTGTCTTTTACGCCTACTCTACCATTAAGGTTATTAAGCTTTCAAATTATTATTATGTTACCTTCTGTGCTATCTAAAATCTCTGTCGCTTTTTTCCAAAAAATGTTCTTGGCGTTTGCTCTTTTCGTATCGTTTGGTCCATATATAACAAAGATGTTAATTTGTTTCTTTTCGTCGGTTGTCATTCTTATTTTTTAAAATCCTTTCGGCGATACATTCCCAATCCTTAATTCTACTGGAAAGATTTTTATTAAGTAGACAACTAATTCCTTCACTAACTCTTTCTATTTGAGGTAATCCACTAAAGATTAAAAAATAGTCGTTTTCCAAGAACTCTGTACTTTTGTCCTTTCTTTTTGTATCCCTTGTTCCTAGTATGTCTACTGTATTATTATTCTGTACTGTTCTTCTGAACAATTCCTCTTTCTTTCATTCTGATGTCTTTGGTGATATATATTTTTTCTTCCTTGCGGTTTTTTATCTTGGACTTGTTCTTCATAACTTTGACGATTATATTACCGAGATGCAGGGACTGCTTTGCGTCAGCTTTCTTTGTTGCACTCGGGGAACGGGCATGTATTTGTATAACGGGCATTTCTATGAATATGAGTGGGCGCTTAACCACCCTTCCACTCAACTTTATTGTTGTTTCATTCTAGTAGTCTAGAACAAGGCAAGTTAATGGGTTTTTAAAATGTAATTTAAACTATAAAATTATATGTTTTTGCTTCATGATCGGTTACATCTTCTTCTTGTTATTTTGTTACTCTTTTCATTTATGTTTGATGTATAATCCAAGCTGTAGGGACAAAAATTAATGATTTTAGAAAGCATAAATTAGTGAATTTTTGAAGACAGCACAGTATTATGCAGGCAATGCCTGGAGTAACCTCCAAGTGTTTTTAACCTCAAACAGTTAGTTATAATTTTTAATGAGACTCTTAATGTGCAATAATGTGCACTTTTATGTGTTTTATGTGCAAAACGGTGTTTTTGATTATTGTTATTTTTATTGTATTAAATCAACATTTTAGGGCAAAATCACTGCATTATTATGAGTGTACATAAAAAAGCTTTAATTTAAGATATAATACATTAAATTTGACTTAATAGTTTATGCAAAAATTATTGAAGATACAAACATGGCAATTTTTCGTCATTTTTAACTTTTAAAATACCTTTTGTAAAAATTCTTTCTTCTTATGTAAAAATCATTATTTTGTAGCTGTTTATTATAAATCGATTGAGACTTCGCATGATCCATCGATTAATACGTTTTGGAGATACGTTTAAATGTTTACAAATATTCTTAAAAGATTATAAATTTTGCAGAGCCATAATATACAGATCTAATTCTGAACAAATTATCTACTTTGGCAGTTATGTTTCAGAAAGCAATAATAATATTTGCTTAAAAAATGTTTGAAATCCTTATTTATTGCTTTGAAGTACAGACATCTTTGCGTTATAAATTAATTTTTAAAGCTCCAAATTTACACTATGACCCAACCCTTTATTATTTACTTCGTGAGCTACTCTCTTTCCAATGACGCCTCAGACTTGACGATCCAAGTAGCCGTTCCCGAGCTGAATGTAAGATTGGAAGTGAAGGGGTAGCTCAACCGCTGCAACCTCTACTACAATTTAAACAAATTAAGGCCCACTTAAAACGACATGAAGAGATAGGAAAAGACAATAAGACGACATAAAAAAAATAGCCGGAACAAATTAGAAGCATGTTGCTCAGGATATAAATCGATGGAAAGAGTTGGCAGAGGCCAAAAATGGGCGATAAAAGCCTCAAAAGAAGAAGTAGCTCCACTTCTTTTAGTCGTAGAAAACTTTTTTAAATTTTTCTTGACGTAAGACTTAAGAGTTAATCTTCAATACTTAAGAATCAATACCTTTAAATATATATATATATATATATATATATATATATATATATATATATATATATATGTGTGTGTGTGTGTGTGTGTGTGTGTGTGTGTGTGTGTGTGTGTTTGTGTGGTTAGTATATAGGGAGCGCTGTAGCTTAATTAATTTATAACGCAAAAGTCGCCCCTAGTTCAAAGTAATAAATAAGGGGTAGAATCATTTGTTAGCAAATATTTTTATTTTTACATAAAAATCTAATCGACCAAGAAAAGAATCCATTTAGAATTGGATTTTTCTTAAAAAAAAGGTTCTGGCCCTGAAAAATTTATACACATAAATTTAAGAATTTTAATGAATAATTAAACATATCTCAACAAGAAATTATCCGATTGGATCTGAGAAGTCTTATTTAATTTGTAATTAAAAGAACTACAATATAATGCTTTTTCATAGAAAAAAGAATTTCTACAAAAGTTACTTCACATAAAAGATGACAAAAACACACACAAACACACAATTTGTACAAACCCCAGCTCCGAGTGACATGTGTGTTCCAATGGATCAGTGAGATCCACATGTCTGAAGATCAAACCGTTCACATCCCTCAAAGCGGCACCTATCTGACCCCCAATCTATAACTCACCACCCCTCCCCATCACAATACATACCGAATGGGAAGGCTTTTGAACTGAGCGTCACTTTGGATTCCCTGGTACATCCTCTGTTTTACTTCGTAGGGCTAACTAATTTAAGGGGTAGCTAGACGATCTTTTCTCCCTATGACTGAGTTTATTATTTGACAGATGTCCGGACATAAAATAAATTTTGTTCTCCTCGCCGGCTGAAAGCCCGAAAGGTCTGACCACCGAGCTCACGCTTGTCCTTAAAATTCTTTGATCTTCTTGGTTTCTTGTTCTGTTGCTCTTCTTCTCATCCTGTGTATTCTTTTATCAGTTCTTTCATCTCCTTACTGATGTCTCTAAACCTTCCTTTTGTTGCGGAAATTTTTTTTTCTTAGTACTGGCATCGATAGCATTTTGTATTGTTCTCTCTAGTTTTAGGACGTAATCTCTAGTTCTTCTTTTGTGTTTATAGCTGGTATTGCTCCGATGATTTCGCTCACTATTCTTATGCAGTTTGGCGAATTTGTCCTTTTTTTTTCGTATAGGGTTGTTTGTAGTTTATTTCTACTGCTTCCAGGGTCAATACAATTGATTTGTGTGTTGAGTCTCCCTCGTTGATTGGCTGTATTTCATTTCGTTGGCCCAAGTTTTGTAGACTTGCTATGTCCAAATATGTGAAAAGTCTGTCTCCACCGTGAAAGCATGTAAGTTCTATGGTCCCTACTACTATGATGTTCTGTTTCTCTTCAAGGTAGCCACACAACAGTCGCTCATTACAATTTGTGGTTTTGTCAAACCAGTTAGGCGATCTCGCGTTCAGATCTCGAATAATGATGGTGGGCTCCTCTGTGACCAAAATGACATTTAGGTCCTCACTAAATAGCGGATCCTTCGGTCGTTCCCTTTTAATCCTTAGTATAGTGGCTTCCATAGTGATCAGACCATGTGGTGAAGGAATTGCTTGATATTCTATTCCTTTTTTCCGAGGTCCCAGTATGGCTGTGCCTCCTGAATTAGCCCTGTTTTGAATTTTGTTTTTATTTTTTCCGTCATCTTAGTTTCTTGTAAAGCTATGATGTCTAGTTTAAGTCTGTTGGCAAACTCGTCCAGAGTGTTAATTTTCTGTCCTAGCCCTCCAGAATTCCATGACCCTATTTTCAGATCGTCCAACCTATTAGAGAGTTCCGTTTACGTCATTTTCTTAGTCGAACGTAAAAGTGAAGTTCTTAATTTGTTCCTGCTGGATTGCCAAGAAATTCGCTACTTTATAATTTTCTTTTGGTTCTTCTGTCTTCTTTGCTGCTTGGGCATAGTTTTTGTTGTTGTTTTTAGTTGTTGGTGCATATTTCCGTTTTGCTTCTTATTGGTGCATGTTAGGTGTCTGTTCTTCTTTTTGGTGCTTTGGGGTATCCTCTGTAATTGTGAGTGTGTTTCGCCACAGTGATGGTAAAAAATTAACGTTTATAAACATTATATTTTTAATTTTGCATAAACTATTGGGTTAAATTTAATGTAGCATAGCTTAAATTAAAGGTTTTTATGTACTTTAATAGTACTGTACTTACTTTATGCTAAAATATTGATTTATTATAATAAAAAAATCAAGACATCATTTTTGCACCTTGAAAGTGACATGAAATAATTATAACCAACATTTGGGAGTTGCACTCACTTAGATGTTACTCTAGGCATTGCCGTTTATAGCGCTGTTCTGGTTTTAAAAATGCACTAATTAATGCAAGTTTTTTCTCTACAGCTTGGGCTAGTACCCTTTCAAACGTTAAGCGAAGTGAAAGGAGTGGATGGAGAATTACTCCGCAAACTTTATAAAATACGTAACTAAGTAATAACTTGATAATAAAATTCCATTGTACTTTTTCTAATAAATTACCTCCAGTATTACTTTTATTTAAATACCGATTTCTTTTTTCCAGAATTAATCATAATGAAAGTATCAGAAGTAGTAAAATCCTCACGTCGACTAATAAGTACATGTGGAGAATATAATGGATATCTTTTTAAGCAAAATACTAGATCAATGTTAGAAAAAGTTGCTCAAGATGAAGGATTTGTAGACAAAGAGATTACCTGCTACGGCCAAGTTGGCAAAGGACAAGGTGTCACAGGAGACCTCTTTTTTACAAATATATATGCTCTTAATAGTAACAAACGCTTAGAGTTACTCGTTAAACAGGCGACTACTACTAAAAAGGTACGCGACTATTTTCCAGTCGACCTCTTTTATAAAAACGAAGTCAATTTTTACGACCTTGTTTGGAGAGAATTTGAAAAACAACAGCAAAGACGTCTTGGACGTCTCATTTTTGATAATGTTCCTAAATGTTACGATTACAACGTTAAACCTGGAGAGGAATGCATTATACTACAAAATTTGGGAAGTAAAGGTTATCGCAATATAAATAAAAGAGAACACGTGCCTAACGATATATTTGAACATATTATAAAAAAGTACGCACAATTTCATGGTTTATCATATGTACTTAAAAAGAGTGATCCACGGAAATACGATGAACTGTCACATAAATTTGTTCCTTATTGGGAGCAAGCACAGAAAATTGTACCGCTAAGAGTTTCTATCAAGGACGTCTTTTTTAAATGCTTACAGTATCTAAAAGATTCTTCCAATCAAGACCTTAAAAATAAAATGAACGAATATTCAACAACTGGACTAGATGTGTTTATTCAGTCCAACACCTACAAGGGAAAAAACGGCGTATTCCTGCATGGAGACTGTTGGAGTAATAATATGTTATTTAAATTTACCGTAAGTTACTTTTCATTATTATACTTACCTATGTCTCGTATTTTTTTTATTATTGACATTTTGAAATGTGCCGATAAAACAGTGACGTAGCCAAGATTTTATTTCATTTTATTAAATTTTTTTAATAATTATTTTTATAAATTTAGATATTGAAATTAGGCAGTTAATAGTTTAGCAGTTTTAGAATATAGTAGTTATTAATTTAATAAATTTAATAATTTATTTTTATTAGAAAATAATGTATAATTTTAAATATTTTCTAGGCGGAATAAAAATGCAGTAAATTTTGTTTAATGTAAAGGAAAAAATCTTTTTTGCACTTTTTTTCCAATTATTTCTATTTTTTTAACAGTAAACATTAAATTTTCAATTTCTGGTCAAATATTATGTAAAATTAAAAAACGAAAATGTTACCTTCTATTGATAAAGATTTTTTATACCAGCAATATAGCCCAGTCTGGTTAAAAAAAAAGTCAAAAAATGTTTCGCAGATATCTGAAGCTTTTAAGACATAGGTGGGGGTTACTAGATGACGAATAGATGAAAAGATATTCCTATTTTTACCTGCGTTTTTTTTAACAATAATTTATGGTCAAAATTTGAGTTTTTGCCCAAGTTTTTTCCCTTATATTGTAAATAAACAATATTTATATTATTTTTTTAAATCAAGAATGTCTTTATTTTCCCGTTTTTTCAATTAAAATTGATAAATAATTTACGGAGATATTTGCAATAAAGCAGTTTTTTGCACAAATTTATAAATTTTATTAATTTTTTAATTAACAAAATAAAATTTTATCAATACATTTAAAGATCGAGGAATTACAGTCTTTTAAATTTATGCGAAATTTTCCCCCAAACGGTCAAATAATTTAAAAGCAAATTTCAAAGGATTCTTTTTTTTTAATTAAGGCATCAACCACGCAGGGTCATTAGCGTATTTAGATTATGTAACATATATGATACAATATGTGAATATACATTAGTTTACAATAATAATTATAATAATAATAATAATGTAGATGATACGACGCCGCTTAAACTGAGGGAACAAGAAATGCGCATAAACCACCTGACTCAGCAAGAAAAAATGCGCACCTGGATGAGTAAACCTCTGCATGGGCGACATCTCAATGAGATCAACCAAGAATATGTCGACAATACAGCGTCGAACTATTGGTTGACATCAGGAAAGATGTTCCCCGAGACTGAGGGTTTCCTACTTGCCATTCAGGATCAGGTTATTCCAACTAAAAATTACCTGAAGTATATTGTTAAAGATCCTCAAGTCCAAAATGACAAATGCCGATATGGATGCCAAGCCCAAGAAACCATCCAACATCTTACCGGTGGCTGCCAGGCATTTGTCGGTACTGATTATAAAGAACGCCATGACTCAGTAGGAAAGATTATTCACCAAGAACTAGCTGACAAACTGGGACTTCTCCATACCGACCATCTTCCTTATTATCAATACGCTCCTGATAGAATGCTTGAAAATGACAACTACAAGCTATACTGGGACCGCACTGTGCTTACAGACCAACCAGTGGGCCATAATAGACCGGATCTCATACTAGTTAATAAACTTACTAGACAAACAACACTTATTGATGTGGCGATACCCAACACCAATAATTTAGTTGTTAAATACAACGAAAAGATCGCCAAGTACAAAGATCTAGAAATACAAATCAGGAGACAATGGAGAATGGAAAGTACCCAGACACTACCTATTTTTCTATCTACTACTGGTGTTATTCCCAAAAACCTCCTAGCGAACATAAAACAGCTGGGTCTAAATGAACATCTTTATAAGGCCATGCAGAAAGCTGTACTCCTCGCGACGTCCAGATGTGTACGAAAATTTCTGGGAGATACTCCAATATACCAAGTCACCTAGGGCTCGATAACATGGAAAGAGTCCCACCAGAGCTCAATCCTTTTGATACCGTAGGTATCTGGGATGAGTGAATTTTCCCCTTAGAGGGAGTGTGAGCCGTATGGCTAAATCTGATAATAATAATAATATGTATGTGTGTTAAAATGTACGTTTTAGATCTTTTGAAGAAGTTGACAGTCTTTAATATAGGAAAATATTTTTCGATTATCTGTATTTTCTTCTAGGGCATCTTCTATGGAGTTGGGTATGCTATATTTGAGTCGTTCACTGTTATATTTGTGATGCTGTATTAAAAAGTGTTTTACCGTTAGAACACTGTTGCACACTTCACACACTGGTTTGTTTTTGCGCTGTAATAAATAGTCATGAGTAAGTCGTGTATGGCCGATACGGAGACGGGTAAGTATCACTTGCTTTCTTCTGTCTTTTATTGTTGGTTTCCAAAGATGTGGGTGTTTGTTGACTTCGTATAGCCTTGATGGAGTGTTGTTCCAAGTTTGTTGCCATTTTTGAATTATTTTTTGTTTTAAGTATGGTTTTAAATCGTTTTGTACCAATATGTTACTTTCTTCGGACATCGGGTTAGTTGGTGCGTTTTTAGCTAGTTTATCTACAGCTTCGTTACCTTCAATTCCTACATGAGAAGGCACCCATAAAAAGTGCACTTAAATGTTCTTATTAGAAATGTTTTTAAGTTCTTTTTTAATAAGAAGTAGAAGGGGGTTGTCACAGTATAATGTGAGTCAGTGAAGATAATGAACATAGAGAATCTGTGATTATTATACATCTTTCTTTGTTTTTATTTTGTATTAATGATAGTGCTTTTAGAATTGCGAATAATTCAGCCGAAAAGATGGTTGTCATTGATGGCAATTTGAAACTAACTGAGGTGTCTTCCGAATAAATTGCTGCTCCAACTCTGTCTTCATTTTTTGACACATCGGTGTATACGTTGTAGGTATTGCCATATACGTTTAATAGTGTATAAAACTTTTGTTTAATGACGGTTGATGATATCTCTGATTTTCTTAGGTTTGTTAGACTGATGTCGATAGCAGGAATAGATATTGTCCATGGTGCAGGGTTGTGGATTGATGAGGTATCATAGGTTTTTGGAAATTGAAAATTTAATTTGGATAAGTATGATTGTATACGAAAGTAAAAAGGATGATCAATTTGATGTGTTTGTTGAAATATATTTGTAAATCGATCAGCAAAAACGTTATGCAGTACTGGATTATTTCGGTTTAATGACACTGCCGCTGCATATGTTAGACTTAGATATTGTCTTTCTGAAAGAAAGAGGAAGTTCTCCACTTTCCCAATAGAGACTTTGAATGGCACTTGTATAGTGAGCACCTAAAGAAATACGTAGACATCTATTTTGGATAATATCCAGTGACTTCAAATGTGTCTTTTTAGAAGAGTTGTAGACGATGGCTCCATAGTCAAGTTTTGATCGAATTATGGATTTGTAAATAAGTATTAAACTTGAATAATCGGCACCCCAGTTTTTAAAAGCAAGTGATTGTAGTAAATTTGTACCAGGTAGACAGGATTTTTTCAGCTGTAGAATATGTGTCTTCCAAATTAATTTTTTATCAAACGTCATACCCAAGAATCGGATTTCTTTTACATAATCTAGTTTTTGTAACAATAAAACACTGAAAACTTTGTTTTCAAACTTCCACAAAATTTATTTTAACTATTATCACTACAGCTGTTTCGGCTGATAGCCTTTCTCAAGTGATCTATTTTTGGCATGCGTTTACAATTTATAGTCTCTAATGAAATAGGTTGAGGAGGGGAGAACTGTTTGTCTCAAGTTGGTCATTCAGAATTATATCTGTGTTCTTTAATTTGTTGATTTCCATAGATTCTAACAAAGATAGCTTAAGGCCTTTATTTTGAACGTGAAGAACTTTAAATTTGTCATTAAAAGAATGATTATGATCTAGAAGGTGAAGTGCGTATGTCGAATCTGTTTTTCTATTCTTGAAAGCCCTTTTATGTTCTGCTATTCGTTTCTCAAAGTTTCTACCAGTTTGACCGATGTAAGTTTTTGGGCAGTCGCCACATTGAATTTTATACACACCACTATTTAAGTGTTTTTTATTTTGGCTCTTGTTATTTTTAATATATTTACCTAGGTTGTTATTTGTTTGGAAAGCTGGTGTTATTCCTTTCTTTTTTATATGTTTGGCAATTTTTGTTGTTATTTTGCCTGTATATGTAATCGAGCAGAAGGTACTGGGTTTTTTCTCTGGTGGTGGAAATACTATTTTCAGGGCTTTCTTGTGTAGTTTTTGATTTAACATTTTATTAATTGTTTGTTCGTTGTATCCGTTGTTTACTGCTATTTGCTTAATTATATTTAATTCTGTCTCAAAGTTGTCTTTTGACATCGGAATTTCTGTTAATCTATGTAACATACTATGATAAGCTGCCAGTTTATGTTGTGTTGGATGGGATGATGAATTGTGTATAGTCGTGTCAGTATGGGTAGGTTTGTGAAATATAGAGAAGTCATGTTTGTTTTGAAGTCTGCTAATTTTTAAATCTAAAAAATTTATGCATTGATTTTGTTCTGCTTCTATTGTAAATTCAATATGACTATGAAGTGAATTAATATACGATGAAAATTGGTCGAGTTGCCTGTTAGTTCCTGTGAAACATACCAGTACGTCGTCTACGTATCTCCACCAATATAAAAACTGTTTGAATACGGGATGTTTTGAAATCTTTGTCTCTAGATGATCCATAAAAATATCTGATAGCAATGGGCTTAGAGGATTACCCATTATAAGTCCTGCACTGTTATTTGTATATATTTTATTATTAAATTCAAAGTAGTCCTGGTTTATGCAAACTTCAAGAAGATGTAATATTTCAGATGTAATTACTGGATTTGTACTATTTTGGTCTAAAAGGTTTTTTACTAGAATAAAAGTTTCTGTAGGAGGGATACTAGGAAAAAGATTTTTTACGTCAAATGAAATTAATCTGGAGTTGTTAGGTAATTGAAAATGTTGTATTTTATTAACTAGTTCTATTGTATTTTTTATGGTGAATTTAGGTGAAAATTTAGTGTGTTCTA